TAGGTGCTCACATTAACAAACTTTCTGGATGTGGTTTTCTGGGTTGGTGATTTTGTTTCAGAAATGAGCTAGGAGTGAAATGGGTCAGATGGGGAAAGACAAACACCATATGATTCCCCTCATGTGTGATATTTTTCAAATGAACAAAAATAAAATAAAATGAACAAACAAAACAAAAATAGGCTGAGATACCAAGAACAGATTGGTAGTTACCAGAGAGAAATGGAATGAGGGAGGTGGATGAAAAGTCTCTTGGTGGTGAGCACATGGTCTAAAGATGTCGAATTACAAAGTTGTACACCTGAAACTTAAATACTGTTGCAAACTAATGTTATCTCAATTTTTTTAAATGCCTGTCAAAATAGAGGTGAGCTAGTGGCCTCAAATACAGAGCAAAGGTTTAGGATGTGTGGCAGTCAAACTGGGAATGAAAATCATGAACAGGTGTGCCTTGTAGGCCTTAGCAAACTCAACCTTAATAGCTTAGAATAAAAGCAAAAGGATGTGATTGGGATTAAAAAATAAATCCACTATGGAGTACAAGAATAAAAACGAACTTAACTACACCATAATAATATTTGTAGGGATCAAATTCACACAGTAAATATTTAAAATTCAGCTAGATTCTATTGACCAAAGATTAACCCACACATAAGGACGAGGGACTAGTTCGGGTAAAATGATGATATACCAGGAAAACATCAACCAAAAATAAGATAGTCATTTAATTGTAGACAAAAATAACAATAAAGAAGGTAACTACCATTCTGAGGAAGGATGATAAGGACGTATGGTGTATATATCCAGTAGAATATTATTCAGCCATAAAATCCTACCATTTGCAACAATGTGAGTGGACTTTGACTGCATTATGCTAAGTGAAATAAGTCAGACAAAGACAAATACTGTACAATCTCACTTACATGTAGAATCTTAAAAAAAAAAGCTCATGGAAAAAATATCAAGGAGTAGAGAACTGAGGAAGATAGTCAAAAGGTATAAATTTCCAATTATTAGAAAAATAAGTACTAGGGAGTTGATGTACAACAAGATGACGGTCACACTGCTGAATGGAGCTATAGAAAAGTTACTAAGAGTAAACCCTAGGAATTCTCACAGGAGAAAATTTTTTTTCTGTTTTCTCTATGGTAGCTCTATAAGATGGAAGTTAGTGGAACCTGGTGTGGTCATCATTTCACACTGTCCGCCTTCAACTTAGGCAGTGATGTATGTCAATTATGTCTCAATAAAACAGAAAGGAAAAATAAAACTGTGACATTGTGAAAGTGCAACGAGCCCTGTACTGATGACAAGACCTGGGGCACCATCAGTGTGACCAAGGCAGGGCACGAATGTCCATTTCCTGCGGTGAACTGAGAAATATGGATGTTGGCATTGCCACCAAAGAGGCTGGGAAGAATAGGAAGAGCCTGAGATGGTTCCTTGTGCCCAGAATGGAACACACAGTAGCACACAAAGCTGCGAACAAAGGTGGTAGTGATTTGGACATTGCTAAGCCAGAGGCAGCGGAGACCGCAGGCAATACACAGAGAATAGCTCTTGGAAACTGCACATCGACGCTGTGCTGAAGGGGGTTTAAGGAATCAGCATGCTAATTGGCACTCAAAGCCATTGTTAACTGGAACACAAAGCAAGACTTACTGTCTTTCATACCACCAGTATAATTATACCACCAGGTAAACTTTACTCTCCAATTTAGTGTGAGGTCAATTGCAGAGGTAGGTGTAGATTTTCACTCTTACTTAATACACGAGGCATTATCAGGAGATGGCATTGCTCTTATGGTTAACAAAGGAGGAAGAAAGATGTCCAAGGTCAATCCTGGAATCAAGCCCACAGTGAAGAATCACTTACCCATCACCCCTTGACTCTGCAGCTGAACAAAACAGGCAGTCACATGTGTACCTGGTTTCAGTAGTCTGCCCAAAACTCACTTTTGCTAAATCAACTTAAAGTGTGTGACCCAGTTAACACAAAGAGCAAATGAAAGTAAATGTTTAGCAAGATGGAGAGATAGGAGACCATGGTAATGTTTAACATGCCACACACAGAGATCAAGTCATATTTCATCATTAACTGTTTGTTCGACCTTCAAGTGTCCAGGGAGGGACCTGCATCCACTTCCTCTTTGCCTTCATCCCTGTTCCCCACTCAGCAAGAGGTCTCGAAAGACATAAATATCATAAATAGAAAAGGCGACAAGAGTTACCATTGTAATAGACGCCACAATTGAATGGCTCCTTTGTGCACAATTTAACCTCCATAGTTCATGTAGTTTATCTCAGGTCTAAAAATAACTGTTAGCAGGTGACATTAAGTCTGTCTTACAGGCTGGGCATATAAAATTGCTGTAAGAATTCAGGAATGACCTGCAGGCTCCTGGCTCCTTCATGTTCCTGATTGACCCTCCTTAATGATAGGAACAGCTCCTCCTCTTGGTTCTCAAAAAAGGAGAAGCAGCAGGAGGGGCAGTACCAGCAAACTCCCACTGTGCAGTCAATGGAGTGGCAGCCTTTTTCCACCTTCTACAATTAGCCTTATAGCCACCTCTTGCAGCCTGCGCAAAAAACACTTGGGGACGTGAGTCCAGGGCACATGCACCTGTAATTACGGACACTGGGGCCCAAAGAGCATGTGTAAATGCTCACACCTGTGCCTAGGGGATAACTGGGTGGTGTCACTCTGAGGCGAGACTCTGAGATGACTGTGAGATCAAAGAGAACGTGAGAGAGACAGAGCCCAGAGATTCTCAAGGGGCTGGGAGGCTCACTTGCCTCCCAAGCCTCCTGGTCCCTAAGACCCCTGCCTGTTCCCCCGACCTGCCTCCTTGCCTGCCTCCCTGCCTGGTCTGCCTGTGTACCTGGTTCAGCATTAAAGTCCTGTAAAAAAAATCCACCGAGAGCTCCAGGACTCTCATTATCCATTGCCCGAATCAACAGTGAACCTGCCCTGTGCTTGCTGGCACTAGTCCCACCTACTTGTGTTGGCCAGAACTAGACACTGGTAGGTCATTCATGGTTTATGCTGGTTACAGACAAACTCTGAGAGTCACCATAGAATTGGGTCATCCAGGGAGCTGCTGCCTCTTCCATAATCAGGAAGTTGCCGAGTTAAGAGTCACCTTCTCCTATAGGAAGCCAACGCCAGCGTCATTGGCCACATGGTACAGCACATCTCCACCACCAGACGGCAGCTCAATCAGAAAGCCACTCCCCAGGGTTAGGTCCCAGACCAGCCCAGTTCTGCTGGGATCCAGACAACGAAAGAGATGGCCAGATCTCGCCCCTCATTCTCCACTGAACTCAGCTTCCAAAGTCTCATGGTGCTCTTTCTCTGTGACTCAGTTCCAAGGCAAGCATAAGTGATCAATAAAACTTAAGCATATTTAGTATTTCAGCTGCAAGGGTCGCTGGGGACTGGCAGGTTGATAGTTTTAGCATCCAGTCTCCATAGCAGAGGCAGGTGGGAGAGAAAGGTTGAGTGTGCCGAACCATTGCATCAGTCCCCTTATTCTGAAAAGTTGGACAAGCTCATGTACGGCTGCTCTGTCTTCCCTGCTCCATTCCCAGCCATCCTGTCCACATTGATAATCTCATTTAATCCTCATCACAACCTTTCAACAAAGTATTACTATCCCCTCTTTATAGATAAGGAAACCAAGGCTCACAACATCTCATTAACAATGGTCAAGAAGGTAGAAGAATCAAGGTTGGAACCAAGGTTTGTGTTCCCCTAGCTCACGGAGTGGAATTTGTGTTTACTTTGCTGACTCTAAACACTATAATAGTGGATTTTCTCTACTCTCAATTTCCTTGCTTCTGACCATGATCCACTGGATTTTAAAATAGCTGAGTAGGCCTGGTACTCTCATCTCTAAGCCACACAACAATGCCCTTCATTGTTAGGTTGTTTGATGCCACAGATCGCCCAAGATGGCGTGTAGCAGGACTGGCAGGGGTGAGGAAGAGGAAACACTGAGCCATCAGCTCCTCTTCTCCATCCATCAAAGAATCATTCCACGAAGGATTATTGTCTTCCCTCCCGTGTCCCATCACCCACACTCAGGCCATTCTTTAATACCCTAACTCAATACTGCCTCTCTGCACAGATTTCTCCAATCTCCCTGCCAAAATGTCACCCTACCTTCGCTGAACCTCCCAGATATGTTCTTTGCAACTGCCTTCAAGGATTTCGCACAAGCAACATACATGATCACCACTGCCCCGCTATAACTTCCTTAAAAACAAGAGCCGTGACATTTATCTTTATTGTCCCTTAAATCTCCTGGGCCAGTATATGTACTTGGTAAGGGTTCACTAGAGGAATAATAATAACTAATAGATAAATGAAGGACTTTCTCTAGTGAAGTCCTCTCTTTAAAATATTGGATAATCCAAGAAATCAAAAACCAATTGCCCTCATTATGTTTTTAATTAGCAGGACTTCCTTCTGTCACCCCATCTACCTGATTTCTCCAACCCTCATCAGATAACGTACACAGAATATTTTTTACAAATTTATTTGCCTTGTGGTTTAAAAAAATTAAAGGAGAAAGAGAACAGGACTACATCCTTGGAGTGAGTTCATTTTCTCTTTGGAACAACCACAACAGGACAATTTTTACACCAATTCAAGCATTTGCCATAAGTAACAACTCATCGGGCCAGAAAGAATGGAATAAACCATGAAAGGAAAAGCATCAAGGAGTCTCCATGCTCTATCCTTAATCCACTCAATTTCCTGCCAAAGGAGAATTTCTTCCATTACTGTCAGCCCTTCCCGGGGCTGCCGACAGCAGCCGCAGTCTCTGCCTGCTAGAAACTTTCCACTCTGGAACCCCAACTGAGCGGGCAGCGGTCACCTCGGCTGGTTCTCTCCTGCCCTGTGGTTAATGAAACTGGTAGGCCGGCAGCTTCCTCCTGGTTGCCATGGAGACGGCCAGGGCCGCTGGCCCTGTGGAAACGGAAAAGAACAGCAAGTGCAAGACCACGCATTCCATCCTGCCTTGCAGATTAAACCAGCTGTCAAGCCAGAGTGAAGGCTCCGTGGCCAGGCAGAGGGCTGCGGAGTGGAGAGGCCAGCCTTGCCAGAACTCGGGATGTAAGTCATTTCTCTGTTCTCTTTTGAAAAGCATATCGACTTTGTCAGTTTTAAGAGCTTCAGAAATTCTGCTGCATTTCAGGCAAGTTCTGTGATGGTTTGAAGAGCTGCTGCCTGTGTCACCTTCTTGTAATATTTGTCTATCCTGAGCATAATGTACACTTTTGGGTGACTCTCCCCATGAAATGCTTCTGTGGGCTTCCAGGCTTCGGAATTGCTCTTTGCTGCGTTTCTGCCTTTAAAAGGAAATGTTTCCAGTGCGTTAAGCAGAATGAAATGGTCTTCTCATTTAGTTCCTAAATAGATAAACTCTCTTAGGCTAATATTATATAACAGATAACTGTAGCCGCCTGGCTTCTTGTTTCTATTTTAAAACATCTGGCTGTATTTTCCTATTGGTCTTCGATGCTAAATAACAATTACATAAAAGAGTAGGATTTCATAAGAAATCTCAAAACATCTGTTTAATTAAAAATCCAGTAGCTTGATATTTACGGCTTATTTACACACTGCTCGTTAGAAAACACGGAAGACAAGAAACCAAGTTGAGATCAGCACTCACTTGGAATTGGCTGTTTTAAAAATATTGTTCCTTTTATTCAAAAAGTTTAAACAAACACGATAAATGCTATAGCCAGAGTTCAGATGTCAGGGTGTTTCAGTCAAAGCCTGCCATCCAGAGTATATCTCTCTGTTTAGTAAACATATCTTGGGAAAGTTTTTTAACAGTAGTGTATTGGTGTATATTGAGGAAAGGAAGTGTTTTCAGAGAACTGTGCAAAGTGTTATAAAACTCATCCTTAAAAACTACCAGAGCAATCATTATAAATTTTGTAATGAACTTGGTTGTTGTTGTTGTTGTTGTTTTTTTTTTTTTACTTTTTTTAGACTGAATAGTGTAATATGTTTGAAAGAAAAAAAGAGTTCTTAATTTTTTTTGACAGAAACATGGCACTTTCTGGGCTTCCCAGGTAGCGCAACTGGTTGAAAGCAGCGCTGCAGAGGCTGTCTGCAGCCTCTGCAGCGCTGGTTCGATTCCCGGCTGGCCGGGGAGATTCCCACATGGTGGGGCAGACCTCTCTTGTTGCCCCCGCTGCTCCCCTCAGCAGTGTATTTTGGTTGTCTGCCTGTTCTGTCCCCGCTCTGTCTCTGGTAAATCCTCTCATCCTCCAGCACCTTTAGCCTGTACCCCAGGTCTTGTATAAAAATAAATAAATCTTAAAAAAAAAAGGCATTTTCTGAATACAACAGTTTTAAGAAAGTATTTATGGAAATGAATTTTCTTTGCCACTCTGATATGTTTATTGCTTAAAGCTGGTAGATGATCAACTTTTCAGGTCAGTTTACAGTGGCTTGTGCACTGTCACTGAGGACACCATACAGACCGCACGTCTTCACGGTGTGTGATCCGGGGCAGCCATGCTGAGCTGGGGTTGAACCCGATGATGTAATCAGCTGAGCATCTACCAAGTCAAAGAAGGGACAGGCTTAAGGGTTTGCAACATTAGTTAATTAACTGAGAACCTGTGCTGTGCAGAAAGTACGGTAGCAGCACATGTTAGCTATGACTTCCCACAGGCTCACTATCAGACACCCTTGGTTCCACGTTCCATGCCTGTGTTAGCAGAAGCAGCACTCAACTAATGTTGTCCTTGTTTTAAAAGTGAATTCCTTTTTTTAAAGTGTTCTGAAATGTTTGCATATAGTGGAACTCAGTTGACTCCTTTTGTTTCCTGCTCAGGTAACATGAGGTTTGCTGTTGGTTAAAGGCCACAGAGTCTAAAGGTCATAAAACATGAGGCAGGGACATCATTCAAGCAGGAGCAAGGTCCTGGGGTGGAAAATAGCAGTGTCAGTTCTACCAGGATTCCTTAGAGTATACTAAACCAACTGACTGCAAATCTTAGCTGCTACTTACTGACTCAGTGACCCGGAGCTAGTCACTTAACCTCCCTGTGTCTCCATTATCAAATATGAAGTCAGGGCCTTGATAGTTACCTTTACCGTTACTGCCAGGATTATGTGATCTAAAGTGTGTAAAGTACTCTGATTAAAACCTGGCACAAAAGAAGAACTCACTTGATGTTATTATTAATTGATAAAAAATATGTATAGTTCCAAATTACAGTCAATTTTCAACACACATGTACCTCCCACATTTCTGATTTGAAAGTACATTGGCCCTTACCAATGGGAGCCAGGGCTGAGGGGCAGTCAATGTTGACTCAGTAAACTGTGGACACATTAGTATCTCTTTTCTGCCTGGCAGTCTGAACTCTCCTGGGAACCAGGAGCTGCATGTTTGCTCTGTGATGTTGGGGATTCTGCTTGGCATCCAGGGAGGCTGTCAAGCGTGAGGCTGGATAGACAAACACGGCACTCGGGGAAGGATTTGGAAGCTGGGTCATCATCATCCTATCTGTTAATACAGGTAATTTTAAATCCATGGGTGGGCATGCAGTCCCTGAAGAAGTGGGTATCTAGAGAGCCAGGGGGCATGCAACAAAGACAGAGAAGAAGATGCCAGCTAGTGAGACTGAGCAAACCTGAAGTATCGGGTGTTGATGGTAGAACAGAAAGATCTTTGTTCAAGAAGGAGGGTGTAGGCAACTAGGTCAAATGTTGGTGAGAAGTCATGGAAATGAGACCAGGAAATGAGCCAATGGATTTGGCGTCGGGGAAGGGGTGGGGGTGGAAGAGTCTATTCACCTGATGAGGACGGCTCCAGTGGTGTGACAGTAACAGAAGACACGAGGGTTCCTGGGTCCCCTGTATGGGCACAGACTTGCTTATAAAGGCTTGCTTTTAACTTATTTTACAGTAGACTTATGTGGCCCGATAAAAGAAACAGAATTGATGCAGCAAGAATGGTTACCCAAGCCCCTAGCTTACTCAAGTTTCCTGAAAGAGGTGGGTTTTGAAGACAGTTGGAAAGATGAGAGTAATTTCCTACCAAATGAGAAAGAGAAAATAGTCCCAGACACAAGGGGGCAACATAAGCAGCTGGGGGAGATATCGAGTCCAGAATATAGAATAAGATCACACATGTGCGTGCACACACACACACACACACACACACACACACTCTCCTTTTCCAGTTTTGATCTGTTTCCCATAAAAGGATTATTTCTCACTTGCATCTCGGAAATGCCTGCTCTCCTAGGTCACTGGGGAAGACAGAATCTTCTGTGTGGCCAGGAGTTCCAAAGAACTCATCTGGAGCTGTGTCTAGACACCACTTCATGGTTTGGCCCATGCTCTGATGCCCACATGATCTCCGGGAGCTCTGCTGTCGTCACAAAAATAATCTTCGAGAAGTCCTCAATGAGATCAGGAGGGATTTAAAAAAAATAAATAAACTTCTTGTCTTAAACTTAAAGAAAAATTACTGTGAAGATAGCAGAGTTTCCATATACCCAGACCCTATCATTAACATCCTACATGAGTACAGTTCATCAGTCACAATTAATGAACCAATATTGATACATGATTATCATTAACTAATGCCCATACTTTATTCCAATCTCCTTAGATTTTACCTAATGTCCTTTTTCTGTCCAGGATCCATCCAGGATCACCTTTTAGTTATTATTCCCAGGAGCCATTTTTAAACCCTTAAAAATCTCTCAAGAAAGCAGCAAAATTTATATTGCCTTTGGTTCCAAGATTTGTAACTACAACAACTAAAAGGAAATTTAATCCTTACTTTTCTAAAACCCAATCATTGGAATCGTTGGATACAGATAAAACATCTAGAGGAAACAGTTCAAGGTACTTTATGGGACTGTAATAAAGTGCGACTGTAAGTGGAAGATCTAAATCCCTTTTTATTGTCTAGGAAGCAGGTAATTAAAATATTAAAGGTCGGCCAGCCTCCTTTTGTTTCTCATCTCCAAGGAAAGGGATTACTCTGACTCATTTTCCTTGGCAACCTCTTTCTCACATAATACTTGCCCAGTAATTTGAGCAAAACTCACCCCCAGTAAGTTTTACAAGACTGGATGCATAAATGTTAGGTTGTGGGGACGTTTGCGGCAGGCTAGTCTGGTGCCTCAGCTGAGAACAATAAGGGAGATGTCTGGCGATGCTGACAAATATCTGTGAGGTCATGTGCTTCGTACTAACTCTGTCCTTCTCTCTTGGACCCTGGAATGAGGAAGGACAGTGATGGGGGCCCTGAAGAAGGCTCAGGGTCCCCATTCCAGGATGCGTGTCACCCTGGGTCCCCAAAAGTTCTAAGACAACCACAAACCCAGACTAGCTGGTTGGTAAAATCACAGGAGGGTGGGGGTGCCTCATGGAACTTTTGTCAGATGCCATTCAAAGGCTTTCAGGGAGACTCATAGGCAAGGAGGGGGGTGGATATAAGCTCAAATTTTCCTCCCTCATAGCCATACACAAATCTTATTATGGTTCCTCCATCAGGACTCAGTCATAGGATGAAATTCCTACTGCCAAGGAGAGATTTTGCTTATTGACTTGATAACATGCACTTCCCAAATCTAGGAAGTAAAAACTTAAAGTGAAAGTTAAGGTCAATAGCATGCATCTTTGACTTAGCTAATACAGGGGTTTCTTTGGATAACGTGACTGTTTATGAAGCGTCTCCATGTGTCAGGTGCTGGACCAAGCACTGGGGAAACCATGGTCAACAAAAGACCTGAACTTGGTTACATCAGAAACCTGACTTAGACATCATTCCAACAGCCAGGCACCAGCCTTCAAGCAGCAAAGCAGGGAGCTAAATCAGTGCACAGATGAGCTTTCTACTTTCAAAACACAAAAATCTGTTTTCTTGGGGCCTCCCTGGTGGCACAAGGGGTTAGGACACAACCTATGGGGCTATCCGCAGTCACTGCAGCACGAGTTTGATCCCCGTGCAACCCACATGGCACAGCAGACCTCTCCTGACTTGCCCGCTGCTCCCCTCAGCAGTGGATTTCAGTGGATCTGCCTGTTCTGTTCCCCGCTCTGTCTCTGGTAAATCCTCTCACGCCCCC